TGATGTTTGTGGTGTTTTATTTTGTAGGAGGTTGATGTCTGTGGTGTTTTATTTTGTAGGAGGCTGATGTTTGTGATGTTTTATTTTGTAGGAGACTGATGTTTGTGGTGTTTTATTTTGTAGGAGGCTGCGCTGTACGAGGAACTACATCCACCTGAACCTGTTCTTGTCGTTTATGCTTCGAGCTTTGGCCGTGTTCATTAAAAACAGACTCCTGTTCCCCGAGAGCGACGCCGACGACTGCAGTACTCAGCCCTCTCTGGTACTACATATACTACTGCAGTACTCAGCCCTCTCTGGTACTACAAATACTACTGCAGTACTCAGCCCTCTCTGGTACTACATATACTACTGCAGTACTCAGCCCTCTCTGGTACTACAAATACTACTGCAGTACTCAACCCTCTCTGGTACTACAGATACTACTGCAGTACTCAGCCCTCTCTGGTACTACAAATACTACTGCAGTACTCAGCCCTCTCTGGTTTTTAAGACAAATGAACGATTTGAGATGGAAAAAATAAAATAAATAAAAACATAAAATAGGCCAAAATTTACACAAAATCCAACCTTTTGGAAAATTTTAGGTCCCTGTCGGTCCTCGTTAGTCCCTGTCGGTCCCTGTCAGTTTGTGTTTACTTTGCGCTCTGTGGGAAAAATTCTTTCTGGGGAGGTGTGATTTTTTGTCTGCAGTACCTCTGAGTGACCACTAGTCTGACTCAAGAGCTGCAAACAACAACACACTCCGGTTATTTAAACAGAACCATGAGCTGTGCAGCGCCCCCTGTAGGTCAGTGTAAGACTCTGTACATAACACTGACTCTCTGTCGCCCCCTGTAGGTCAGTGTAAGACTCTGTACATAACACTGACTCTCTGTCGCCCCATGTAGGTCAGTGTAAGACTCTGTACATAACACTGACTCTCTGTCGCCCCCTGTAGGTCAGTGTAAGACTCTGTACATACCACTGACTCTCTGTCTCCCCCTGTAGGTCAGTGTAAGACTCTGTGTAACTGTGACTCTCTGTCGCCCCCTGTAGGTGGGCTGTAAGACTCTGTGTAACTGTGACTCTCTGTCGCCCCCTGTAGGTGGGCTGTAAGACTCTGTGTAACTGTGACTCTCTGTCGCCCCCTGTAGGTGGGCTGTAAGGTGAGCATGGTTCTGTTTAATTACTTTGTGATGGCGAACTTCTTCTGGCTGCTGGTGGAGGGTTTGTACCTGCACACGCTCCTGCTCGTCGTGCACAGCTCCTGCATCAGACTGACCGTCTACATGACCATCGGCTGGGGTGAGTATACACACGTATACACACATATACACACGTATACACACGTATACACACGTATACACACATATATATACACACATATACACATATATACACACACATATATATACACATATACACATATATACACACGTATACACACATATATATATACACATATATACACACATATATACACACGTATACACACATATACACACGTATACACACGTATACACACGTATACACACATATACACACGTATACACACGTATACACACGTATACACACGTATACACACATATACACACGTATACACACGTATATACACACATATATACACATATATACACATATATATACACACATATACACATATATACACACACATATATATACACATATACACATATATACACACGTATACACACATATACACACGTATAAACACTTATACACACGTATATACACACATATATACACATATATATACACACATATACACATATATACACACACATATATATACACATATACACATATATACACACGTATACACACATATATATATACACATATATACACACATATATACACACATATACACATATATATATACACACATATATATACACATATACACATATATACACACGTATACACACATATATATATACATATATACACATATATAAACACGTATACACACATATATACACACATATACACACATATAAACATAAACACACATATAAACACACATATACACACATATATACACACATATACATACATATAAACATAAACACACATATAAACATAAACACACATATATACACATATATACCCACATATATACACACATATAAACACACATATATACACACATATACACACATATATACACACATAAACACACATATATACACACATATACATACATATAAACATAAACACACACATATATACACATATACACACACATATACACACATATACATACATATAAACATATACACACATATACACACATATATACACACATATACACACATATAAACATAAACACACATATACACACATATAAACATAAACACACATATAAACACACATATAAACATAAACACACATATAAACACACATATACACACATATACACATATATACACATATAAACACATATATACACACATATATAAACACACATATAAACACACATATATACACACATATA